TACAAATCCTTGTGGATAGAACACTAATATTTGTTCTAGAGGGTTTTAAGAAAAACAAAACCTCTTTTCTTCTCCTCTCTTCTTCCCCCTCATAGATGTTTTTGTCTTTTAGAGAGGCATTTGGAATCACAGCTAATTGCCTGTGTGCTACTCATGAGCCCAGTTAGGGCTACTGCAATTATCTCACTGGCTAGAGACAGAGAAAAACACAGTGGGCGTAAGCAAGATCAGAGGAGAGCAAGTCTGAAGAACATTTTATTGTTTCATATATGTACATTTTCTTTTTCCATGTAACATATATACTCTAACCTTGTTCACTATTATGAACAACTCTTTTCTTGTTGTAAACTCAATTCATGAATTCATTGGTGCAAGAATACTTCCTCTACCAATGTAGATCAACTTCCGTTTTGCCACTTAAAAGTTTTAGAGCCAATATACGTCAGAAGCAGGATTTAAACTCAGGTCTTCCTCTCTCTATCCGCCCTGAGAATCCTGTAAAACATTTTTTGTTTTAATTTTTCATGTCTTTTGTTTTAGCCACATTTCTTTCCAAATATATTCCTTCTTTCTTTACCCAATAAGCCATACCATGTAACAGAGAGAGGAAATAAAGCACTAGGTAATACAGTGTCTCTGCAAATCAGTGTACCACATCCATAGCCTCCAGAGTGAAAGGAAAGAGGAACATTTTCTCAGCCCTTCTCTGGAGCCAAGCTTGGCCATTGTAATGAGATAATATTCGACTGAAAGACATTGAATATCTCTAGTTTTGATTTTCATTATCTGCTTTAATTATTTGTTATGGTCAACTACCACCATTTCTACTTTAGAGGGTAGAAACCTGAGACATAGAAACAGTTAACTGCATGAGTCATATGGTGAATCCTCAATCCACACATCTCAGTAAGGGGAGAAACATTAGCTCCCTTTAGTTAGAGTTCTGTCTGTGTTTAAATACCTAGATTGGGAGTGGGAGAGGGGAAAGAAACTTCTGCTGTACCAGGCCAACTTTAAGGTTGTAAAATGGAGGTGGGAGGGAAATTACTGTTTGAAGAAAGATTACAGAGGGATGAGTCATAAAGGAGGGTTGATAATGACTTGGGCTCCATTTTGGGGAGTGATTGATGTGAGCCACCAGATAGAAAATAGCAAGGGCTGAGATCTCAGGACAGCTGGCCAAATCTAGAGATGCCCTCCTAATGCTATTAATTGGTTTTGTGAGGTACACATTAGGTAAAACCAGGGGCAGGTACCTAGCAACAGGCTAACAGTGTGCAGTGGACTGAGTGATGTGTGAGGTTTCATATTGTGATGGAGTTCAGTATTGTTTGGAACTCACCTGAGGGGTCTTTGCCAGGAAAGACTACAAGTGTGCGTTGGCTTGGGAGGCATCCCTAAAGGTATTAAGAACCTGGTAAGATTCTGTAGGCCACAGATTTCAGGGAGTTTGTGAACTTGGATGAGAGGAAAAGATCTTTATTTCAATAATTGGTTTCCATTGTAGTACTTTGTATTTTATTCTTTAAAATTTTTAATCAGTAAAAATCTATTTTCGCTCCCTACCCTTCTCCTTTGGGGGAAAAAAAAAGAAAAACAAAACACTTTTAACAAATATTCACAGTCAAAACAAATTCCAGCATTGACCATGTCCAAAAAATGTATGTCTCATTCTGTACCCTGAGTCCATCTATGTATTTTATGCATTTAAAAATATGATTCTGAGAAGGGGTCCATAGGCTTGACCATACTGCTGCCCTAGGGGGCTGATGCCACACCTAGGTTCAGAAACTCTCTTGCCTGGGGGCTCACTGAAGGGGGGTTGTGCATGGGTAAAGAAGGGCTGAAAGACATGTTTGGGATGCTCCTGATTTCTCTGTTCCTGAGTACGAGCTGTGGGGAAACAGTGTAGTTAGCAACATAAGAGATTAAAGGGTGGTGGGGACTGGGGGATGGTAGGCATAAAAAGAAATTTGAATTGCAGTACTGTAGACAAGAACTTGTATTGTATTTAGTTGTAGAAATGGATTTTTCTCCCTTTTGGTTTGGACTTTGGTTAAGCCCGGATCCCTGAGACAGAAAAAAGAAGGTCATTCACTTGAGGTGCCTCAAGAGGAGCTTTTCTGTTTTAATTTACCTCAAGTTGGAATCAGATCTCTTTAGCTTTAGGCCTTCTTTTCTCAGCTTTATGAATATTAGTGTCCTTGCAGTTGTTAAACTCTATTCCTTCTGAAAATTTTCACCTCTTCCTAATCAAACCAGTGTCTGGGGGCACAACTTTGTGCAGATTATTGTATGGCAGAGGCTGCCTAACCAGAATATTCTTCTCCTCCCTCTTCCTGTTCTCTCCCCCATTCTCTCCATCTTTTTTCCTCTTTCTCCTAATCTTTCCAACTCTCTCCCTTCTCTCTCCTTTCTCTCTCTTCTCTCTTCTTTTTCTCTCTTCCCTTTTCTCTCCTATTTCACTCTTTTCCTCTCTTCCCCCCTCTGCTTCCCTCCCTCTCTCTTCATCTCTTCCCTCCTCTCTCCCCATCTCATCTTCCCCACCTCTTCCCTCTCTTTTCTTCTTCTTGCTCTCTCTCCCTCTCCGCCCCTTCTCTGCCCCAACATGAACTGTTTTAGCAGAGGCATCTCAGTATTATTCTGTGTCCATACAAAAAATGGTAAGCTTTTGGAGATTAAAACTATTAACGATAATTATATATGCTTTTTAATTAAGGTAAACTATGCAAGCTGTGATACAGAAGACATAGCTTACTGAAAGTAAATGTAAAAGGACTCTGTTTTGAGGTACAGGGGGTTCTAACTAGTCTTTCAATTCCAACATTCTTTTACTTCCATAGCTGCCAAGTCCCATCTTAAGATTAATATTCCTATGGGCCGCTTGGATTGTTATTTATTAACCTCTCTTTGGTATTATGCACTGAGCTGTTGCATTTTTAAAATTTAAATTTAATTTTCAAATGTTGTACTCATGTTCTTTTTTTATATTGCTATCACTCAATCTTCCCTTTTCTCCTTGATTGCTAAAAGAACCCTCAGAACCGTTCTTTGGAGCAAATATACTTTCACAAAACCAAGTATCCCTTTGGCTCCATCTAGCCATAGAACGCTTCCCTCTGCATCTGCAGCCCACCACTCCCTCTGCCAAGAGGAGGGAGACATGCGCCATGCTCAGTCCCCACTGCCTTGAGCAGAACTCTCACGTCTCTCAGCTCTGTTTTTCTTTACATGATTGTGGCCCTTGTGTAAACAGTTCTTCTGGCTCTACTCCGAGGCACTGATGCCCTGAACATAATGTTTTCTGCCCTGCCCTTCTCTGGCAACCACCACGGATTTGGGCCTGGCATTGGGAAATGGTCAGCATGGTGCTGAGGCATGTGAAACTGAGAGACTGCCTCATTTCCCAAGATTCATGACCATCATTTCTAATTAATCATTGGTCATTTCTAAAAGAGACAAACTCCATCTTTCGATTTTAAATTAATTTTAGGTCTTGTTGCATAACACCAAATATATTAAAATGTTGTAATGATCACTTCCTCCAGGTATATCCCTCCAATAGTGAGTTCTCCACTAGTAATAAAATGGTTTGATATTTGCTAAAAGCATACGAGTAGGCTTATTGAATATTCATTTATAGCACTTTAAAGTTTATAAAGCATTTTACAAATATTTTATCCTCACAACAAACCAGTTATTGTCCTCATTTTACAGATGAGGAAACTGGAGCTGAGAATAGTTAAATGACTTACCCAGCATCATACAGCTAGTAATTGTCTGAGGTTGAATTTGAACTCAGGTCTTCTTGTTTCCAGGGTCCAGAGCTCTATTTACTGTATCACTTATCTGCCAGAGGGGACTTTAGAGATCACCTATTCCAGTGATCACCTAACCCTGTATTTTACAGATTGGGAAATGCCAACATGTAATTAGCCAAACTCAAAAGTGAAGCATGTGCTGTTCCATTGGCACTTTCTGTCAGTGGAACACTTTCTGTTGTTTGTTTCTGCTTTTTGAAAAGTTTAATGTTTTTGAAGCTGACTTACTTATAATAGTGCATTTTTTAAAAAAATAGGATTTTATTGATATCTTTTGTTTTCATATCACCTACATTTCCTATTTTGTCCCTCCCTCAGCCCTTGCAAGAGATCCATTCTTATAACAAAGAACAAAAAAAAAGAGGAAAAAAAAGTTCAGCAAAGCTTATCAATAAATAAAAACGTTTTGACACTATGTGCAGCATTCCAAATTTATATTTCCCTAGCCCCTAGCCCCCCATGAAGGATGCTTTCTCATGTATAGTACAAAGAATGGATCAGTACATGCCATTTGGCAACATGAATTGACTTTTTCAGCGGTATCTAGTGGTCTAAATGAGAAGTATTGGACACTCAGCCGGTGGGCCCCATGTAGCCCAGGACAGTCCAGAGTGGGACTCAAACCAGATTAGAATGTAGTTGGGAAATATATAGCTGAGCAATAATACCATAAAACAGATAATTATTACATTTTAAAATAAGCCATGATGCTGCCTTCAGGGAGCTTATGTATGGTTAGTGGCCCCCATTGCTATTTGAGTCTGACACCATTGGTCTTAGTCACTTTTTTTTTTTAGTCGTTAGATTTTGAAGCCCATTTGTCTTGGATTTCCCCTCTCAAACTATCTTAAATCAACTGCAGTCAAGAGTTTTATACTCCAGGTGGTGCTGTTCTCCTACTTATTAGGAGCAGCTTGCATTTCAACACTTTGCTGTGTCTCTGCCTTACATTAAGTCAAACACCTACAGATAAATTTAATGGTAAAAAAATAGCAAGGTCGTGGAGCTGCCCCTGCCCCCCCCCCCCCCCAGGGCTTGCAGGACAGTATTCTGTATTTGCCTTTGTTTCTAAGGGAATAATGGGGGGCTAGGCTGCCACATCCTTGGCAGGCATGAAACTTGAATCTGCGGGATCTGTTCATTGTAGTCTCATGTGAATTTTTCCTGTTTTGTTTTCAGATCCGAGGGTTTCTGTCAAGGTTTGATCACGTCCTTCCTGTCAGCCTGGCCTTTGACAAGTGTACTGCTTGTTCCTCTAAAGTAAGTTACTCTGCGTCCGGTTGACTCGCTTTGTTTACCACTTTGATGGCTTGTACTTGACTTCTGTATCCCCATAAATATTACAAGAGACGTGAAGCCAGACTGTCAGTGGCTTTGGATGGAGAGACAGGGCTGGAAACACTGGGGCTCAGGATCTTTTTTTTTTCCATCTACTTAAGCTCTCTGACCCACATTATTCTTGCCAAAAAAAGGAACCAGCCTATGAAGACTTGGTTTATGGCGTCTGAACAAAAGGCTGAATTTCCTACCTCGGATCCATATCAGTTATTGGAGCCCCACAGTTTTGTTCATAGCTTCAGCTTCTCTAGCCTGACTTCTTACCCCGGTCTGCCTTCCCCTAGGTCTGGCCTGTGTATTACCCAAGGATGGGGTGCCCAGGCAGATTTCCCCCTGAGTTGCCTTTGTGTAGTAAATGAAAAGTAAACAAAGATTAGGGTCCTGGGAGGCAGCCAATCAAAGGGCCTTTCAGCTTTGATCTTTCCAAAAAGGCTCTATAAATAGAGCTGGGATGTTGTCCATGGTAATGGAAACTGTCTGATGTATTTTAAGACCATAGTTGTGGCAGGTTATAAAAATAAATAGTCTTTAAGATATTGTCTATTTTATTTTTACACATGTACGTATGCCATACGTGATTTCCTTTTGCATACTTTTTCGGTCGTTCTAACACTGAGTTTCACCAGGGCCTTTTTTGACTTGTGATCCTTGATAGGTCCAGATCTTTACGTTCAAGTTGTGTGTGAAATTGTGCTATGGCTGTACTTCCTAGTATGATTTGGGAATTGTTCGCCCTGCCCACCTGCTTCTGGCTTCTAGGTGTATTCAGGGGGTGGGGAGCAGAACGCTTGGATTTCAAAGGCAGTTCCCATTCTTTCATCTGGAATCTTCTCTGCCAGATTCTTTGGCCCTCCGGTGAGAGAGGCGCCCTTCCGATGGACATCTAGGGAAAGTTGGTAGTTTCACTCCTAATTGGACAAACGCAAAGCTATCATAGACTCCACTTTGGTGCGGTGGAATTCACGGTAGGATTCCTCCTCCCTCTTTTCCCCAATTTCCTATGCCTAATTCCTGTGTTATACTTATTTAAAGTCTGAGTCAGTCAACAAGCATTTGTTAGGTTCTTCCATATACCATTCATTGTGCTGAGTCCTGGGAATACAGAGGAAGGCAAAAACACATGCCCCTCCTTCAAGGAGCATTCTCTAATGGTAAAGGTGGCATAGAAATGACCAGGTACATATGCTGCCCATAGAGAGAGCAGAGGCAAGTTTGTCTCAGAGGGCAAGGCACCAGCAGCTAAGGGGATTGGCAAAGACCCCCCCTTTCCTGAAGAAAGCAGGATTTGAGCTGAGTCTTGAAGGGATCCAGGGAATCAGAGGTAGAGATGAAGAGGGAGAGCATTCTGGGAATGAGGGACGGCCAGTGCAAAGTCAGAGCGGGAGATAAACAGGCTAGCTGGATCCTAGAGTTTTCTGAGGGGAGTTAAGTATAAGAAGACTAAAAAGATAGGCTGTGATGGACTTTAAATGCTGGTGGGGAGGGGGGAGGGGAAGGGGCAAGCATTTATTAAGCACCTACTATGTGTCAGGCATTGTGCTAAGCACTTTACAAATACTACCTCAGTTTGATCCAGAAGACTGTATATTTGATCTTAGAGATAATTGGGAGCCACTGGAGTTTATGAGGAGGGGGGCGTGACATGAAGGGAAATCCCCTTGGCAGGACAGAAGAGGACAGATTAGAATGAGGAGAGACTTCAAGGTCTTGACAAGGTGAAGGGTGATGAGACCCTGAGATGAGGCGGTAGCTGGGGTGAGTAGAGGTAGCCATGGATAGCTGTGGTGATCTGCTAGCAAATGTTTAACAGTTTCCCTGAAAAAAACGTTTTATTGCTGTCTTTGGGCTTTATATCATAGTCATTATGACTCCTACTCCAGATTGAGCTGTCCCTTGTGATAAAGAAAAATAGTTAACCAAAAGTGTCTGACACAGTGACCACACATGACAGTGTGTACAGTGTGCAGCACCCCTCAGCTGTGATAGGTGAGGGGGACAAGTTCAGTAGCCTTTCTCTGGGACCTTTGTTGGTTTTCAGTTAATTCAGACTTGCACTTTTTTCCAAAGTGACCTTTAAATCTGCTGTTGTAGATTGTCTTGGTTTTGCTTATTTTGCTCTTCATTGATTTATCCCTGCCTCACCTTATGCTCCTGACTTCTTCATATTCGTCATGTCTTACTACATACTATTCCATTATATTCATATGCATAGTTACTTTTTAGCCATTCCCCAAATGATGGGTACCCATTTTGTTTTTCATTATTAGCTACTACCAAGAATACCATTATGAACATTGATAGAAACACATATGTATTATGCCTTTGTTTCCATTTTTAGTTTAAAGTAGCTTCTTCAAAGTAGCTTATACGGTCTCAGGACTCCATGGGTGTCTACATGCACTTTTCCCTATAGAAATACAGGCTTTTGGATTACCTACTTCTAGAGGAACACATCTTGCTTTCTTTGAATGGCTGAGCTAATAGGTTACAAAAGAGTGTAATCGCATTAATTTTCATAATGAAATGGTTTGGCACAGGTGTCAGAAGTTTACCTTGTCTTATGTACCTCTCCCTGTTCAGTGAAAGATAATTGAGTTATTTTAAAATAGGATGCAAGAGCTCTCATTTTTTCCTTGTTATACTTCTAGTAATGTTTATCCTTTTAGAGACCGTGTTTACAGAAGTCTGAACAGAACTGATGAGATGAGTTCTAGTCTTGAAACAAAGAATCATTCTGCCTCTCTCTCTCTTTCACACTTTTAGTAGTAAGCATTACATTAAGTACAGGTATCAATTTTTTGGTTTTAACAAAATGATTTCCTGTTGGTGGTCATCCTAAAAGAGGGCTGTTTTACATAAACAGGCATGATAATTTAATACAAACTGACTTGGATTTTAGCAACTCTGCTATTCCCATAGAGATCGCTTTTCATGTGGTTAGGGTATTAAATTTCTTTTGTGCTGAAAAGATTGCTTCATTGGTGCACGTATTTCCTTACAGTAGAAAAAGAGTTTATTTACTTGGCCAACTTAGTCTTTATTAGCAGAGGAGCATGTCATTCCATATTATCTGCAAACCTGATACAAATACTTTGACATGACAAATCCAATTATATTTCCATCTTTCTACTGAGTATGGATTTTTCTTAGTGCATATCACAATATTTTTCATACTGAATCATGTCATATATAGTTGTCATTGTTTTAGGAGGATTCTTCAAAGCTAAAAATGGCCATTTTAAATTCCCTAATGAAATAAACTTTTTCCTTTGGCCATTTTCTTTTTCTCTGCTCCTCTGTGGTAGAAAAACAACAATAGAACTCTCACTTCTTGATTTAGCTGTTAGTATGGGTAGAGAAAAGGCCTAAGTAGGACAGGCTTCCAACTTACATGCTAAGAGTTTGTTTTTACTCATTGTTCTAATTGTGATGAGAACAATACATTTTTTTTCCCCTTGGGTGCATTTTCCCCCTTTCTTTTTGCATCTGTGGTTGGAGGTCACACAGGCATCTTTACCCTATTGGATCCTACCTGATTTGCTGAGTTAGCTCACCTTATTTTCTTGACCCTGAGGATGTAGGAGGTGGTGGTCAGGTATAGGTGCATTCTTCCACACAGATGCTTCTGTCGGGTCTCTCTGAATTTTATGAGGTAGACCTTCCATTCATAACTTCAGAAGTTTTTGGATTTTCAGTCAACACATTTTTAGTAAGCACCTACTATGTGCCAGGTGCTGGGAATACAAAGATAGGAATGAAACATTCCCTGTCCTCAAAAAGCTTACATTCTATCGGGGGAGGCAGTGTGTACTTGTAGCAATATATACATAATAAATGCAAGGTCATTATTTTGATAGAACCCTAACCACTGGGAAGGTCAAAAGAAACCTCACAGAGAAGACATAGCTTGAGCAGAATTTTGAAGGAAAACAAGAGATTCATGATAAAACTTTTATTGTCTATGAGGTTTTTAGAGTCCAGAAAAGGAATTTAGGGTCATCTAGTATAATGCAAAGTTGTTACTACTGGGGAAGTAAAATTTGGAAGCCAATAATCCCAAGTGGAATTCTTTATTAATATAATTAATGTCACTAAATTTTTCTTCTTACCTGTATTTTCCTTTAAATAATTTTTTTTCACAACTGGTTTTCATATATATATATATATGTAATATGTGTATATATATACATAATATGTATATATATACACATACATACATGGATATGTGTGTGTATATATATGTATGTATGTATGTATGTATGTATGTATGTATTTAAAAGAATATAAGCAATTGCAGCCTTCGTGCTATAAAAAGTGAAGGAAGGCAACCTCAAGTGATATATCCAACAATAAACTTGTTTCTAAGACCCAGGAACTCATCCAAAACTTTTTCCACAGATCGTCAGAGTGTCTCAGAGGAGTTTGCCTGAGAAGTGTTTCTGTTCTTGTTACACAACTTTTCCGCTATAACCTTTGTCTGTGATATGGAAGGAACAGGCTGTTAAAAAGCAAGGAGTTCCTGGTCTTTGTTTGCCTCTCACCTGGGACTTGCCTGTTTACTCCACAGGTAGAGCATGAGGAGCCCAGAAACCCAATCTCAAGACTTTAATAAGTGATTAGCAGTCTTAATAACACACTTATTCAGCTCTTGTGCTTGACATAAGATTGGCTTTTCTGTGGCAAGATGAGTGGGTTGTGTTTAAACTTGTTGGCTGGGGGTTGGTTCCTAGTTCTTTATGGGGGTAAATGCCAGCCTGGAGCAGACTTTGAGAGCTTATGCTCTAGTGTTGGTCATGACTCGCCCACACATTTACCATTTGGACTTTATTTAACAAATGAAGTCATCAGCAACTTCATCCTTCTCCTATCTCCTTTTGTGGTTGCTTAATAAATATGTAGGCCATAACTATGGCCTCTCCCCA